AATCAGCAAGGCTGGGACTTTCAGGCAAATCTAGGTTGCCTGCTTTTCCTTTCCTTTAGCTTTGTTCAACTCCTTTTAGATGGATGCTGCAGGGTGTTTGTCTGCCTGGGGCCCCTTGCAGTGCTGCCTTCCTTAGTTCTGTTGAGGCACTGGGAGACTCCTTTGCTGTAGAATGCCAAGGCACCTGGTGGTTTTCTGAGCTGATTTCCACCGGTTCCCCCACCCTCACTGAGGCACTCAGAGGTCCAGCTGTTGGTGTTTGCCTGCTTGACCACCTGGGCTTCGGGATCTCCTCCTGGTTGGCAGTTGGAGGCTGTAGGGTTCTGACAGCTTACCTGGTGTTGATCTGGAATCAGCAAGACTGGAACTTTTGGGTAACTCTAGGTTGCTTTCTTCAGCTCCTTTCAGACGAATGCTGCAGGGTGCTTATCTGCCTGGGGCCCTTTGTAGTGCTGCTTCCCTTATTTTTGCTGAGGCACTGGGAGACCCGTTTGCTGCAGAATGCCGAGGCACTAGAATCTCCTCCTGGTGTGCTAAAATGGGTCTTTCCACTAGCTGGCTGGGCGACTCCCAGTTCCATACTGCTCCCCTTCCCCGAAGGTAAGAGGGGCCTTTCCCATTAATCCCTCTAGCTACCTGGGCTACTGCGCTGCTGCACCCTGTGTTTCTTCTGGTTCAGCTGTTCCAGGGTTTTTTCTGGGGTGATATTTTCTGGGTTTTCAGAGGTTGATAGGGGAGGGTGAAAGCAACTACCTTTTTACTCCGCCATCTTGGCTCTAATGGTAGCCATCTCTAGGGAGGGGTGGAGGAGGGAAGAAAAAGAAGAAAAAAATTTACAAGATAATTTTGTTGTATATTTGAAAGGAATAACAAGGTGTGCATAGTAATTTGCATTTTTGTATACAATCAACTTTTTTATTGTACTATGTTGAGAAAGTGCTCATTTATTCCATAAATTAAAAATAAATTTTAAAAAAAATTTAAAAGGGGAAAGTGAAGAATATGGAAGATGTAGTAATATGTTTAAAAAAACAGTTTGATTTAAAAGAAGTTCATGGGGAAGCTTGACATTTTGGGCTCCTTCCTAAATAGGTTAGCAGCCCACACAGGAAATGCTTTTCAGGGTAAGGATTCTGGATCTGGCTCTGGCCCTGGTCCTGCTTGTCCTTTGAAGAGCAGAGACTGGTGGAATCTCTGATCAGAATGAGGGTTTAGTCAGAGTACCTGTCACCATAAGGGTCTAGGGGCAGCAGGTATTATATTCAGGAGATTTTTTTCTGATTCAGTCAAATTTAAGGTTAGTTGAGGCTTTAGCTACAGGGCTTGCCTACAGTTCAATTTATAGTCAGAGGCCTGAGCTACATGGGGTAAGGATAGGGAATAGGTGCCTAAGTGATGGCGGCTTAGCAGGATTGAACCCTTTAGTAAGTCTGATAAAGGGTAGTGGCTATAATCAGTATATTTTGAATTTTTATGGCTAAGCTCTGTTTTTTGCAATGGCTCTCTATTGCTTTTTCCTGGGGTACTTTGGGTTATTTGGGATGACTATGTAAGGAAGATGGCTAGGTGGTACAATGAATACAGGGCTGGGACTGGAGTCAGAAAGAATCTTCTTTCTGAGTTCAAATCTGATCTCAGACACTTGCTAGCTGTGTGACCAGGAGCAAATCATTTAACTCTATTTGCCTCAGTTTCCTCATCTGTAAAATGAGCTGGAGAAGGAATGGCAAACCACTCCAACATTTTTGCCAAGAAAACTCCAAATGGGGTCACTAAGAGTCACACATGAATGAGAAGACTTAACAACAGCATGTGATGGAATGATTGATCTTTCAGTGGTGTTGTATTTTATTTTTTAGGTAATGAGATTACTTTTGATTGTGGGACATCTTTCTTGATATCCCTCAAGCCCCTTTCAGAGACCCCATAACTGTGGAAGTATAGGCTCCACAGGGTGAGCCAGCCCAAAGAAAGCACTGCTTCCAGAACAAGGTGAGTTTGCAGACAGTTTAATGAGACATAAGCAATACTGTGCAAATGAGCCCATTCCCCTTTTCTTTCTTGCCCCATCCATCAACCTCTGCAAAACAGCTCACAGAACAGACTTGCAGGAGCGTGGAACCCCAGGGCCAGAGGAGTGGTCATGTCCCCAGCACATTTTTTCAGAGGATGAAGCAGAAGGCTCAAGAAGGGACCTGTCCAAGGTCACAAAGGGAGTCAGTGAAAGAGCAGGAAACTAGAAGCCAGGTGTCTGGACTCTAAGGCCACGACTAGGCAGTCTCTGAGGGAGGCAGCCAAAAAGCAGAGGATGATTCAGAGAAGGAGGTTGTGAGAGGATAAGGCTGAGCTCAGAGAAACACAGGGTCAGAAAGATGCACAAGGAGAGGAAGTGGGATGGTTTGATGGACCTTTTGGTAGACACAGAAGGCTTAGACATTAACTGAGTTTGTAGAGGAGCGTGAGTAAATAATCTTCTTGATCCAACCCACGTAACTTGTGACACGTGTATAGACTCCAGGTCTGTGCTCAAGGCCACAGCCTATTCCCCAACTCACGATGCCAACCTGCTTCCAGGAGTCTCCAACTTTGCAGGCCAAGGGTCCCCCAGAGTCACCCTAAAAGGCAGCACAGAGTCCGTTAGGCTGGTCCAAAGGTCAGATGTCTAGGAGAGGTAGACTCTAGGGTCAATGGGGTCAGGGGTGGAGGGACAAAAGGAAGGGAGAGGCTGGGGGGAGGAGAAGGAGTCACCCAGGAGCTCTCACCTGACAGGAGTCTACATTGACTTTGCCAGCACATAGCATATCATCGGTAATTATCTTCACAGATGGGCTGGTATATGCTCCCTTATGATACTCTTGATCACATTTGCGTGTATCCCACAAAGGGACTTGCACCTGCCTGAGGGTGTATGGTGGGGGCAAGGGCACTGTAGAAGAAAGAGAAGAAGAATATTGCCATGGGCCCAGAGAGGCAGAGGGGGGTGTCCTGGAAGCCCTAGGATGGGTCAGAGGCCACAGGGACTCAGAGCATCTCACCTTGGGTGCTAGTCACCAAGCAAGCAGGACCAGAGATGGAGCCCAAAACTGAGGTCCATCTTCTCTGTGCTGCTGGTGTAGGGGCCTACACAACAGGGTCCTGGCTACAGCCAATATTTATGGGACAATGTCTCTGCTCTGAGGGAACTGGTACCCAGAAGCCATGGTCTGTAATAGAGTGTTTGAAGCTAGGCAAAGGAGTCAAAACTGCCCTGGCTTCTGGAAAGAGTTGGAGAGGGGAATGAGAAATTGGGACAAGAGATCACCAGATCTGTTTGATGGTCCAGTTCACATGGGAGGTCACAGAGTAGCCAATTAACTATCCTATTGATCAGCTTACTATCCTTGCAAATCTCCAGCTCCCTTCCCTGTCTGTGCCTAGACACAGCTGGGTGGCACAGTGGATAGAAGTCAGTGGATGGGATCTGAACTTAGGAAGGGCTGAGTCCAAGTCTGACCTAAGACAATCACTAGCTATTTAACCTAGGCAAGTCATTTAACCTCTGACTGATCTGTAAAATGAATATAATAACATCCCTTACCTTTATTGCAAATACAAAATAAAATATTTGTAGAGCATTTTGCAAAGCTTAAAGTGATATATAAATGCTATGATAATAATGTGTTGTCTCCTTCTATTAAAATGTCATCTCCTTGAGGACAGGAACTGTCTCCTTTCTTTTATTTTACCCCCAAAACTCAACACACTGCCTAGCACCTGGTAAGTGCTGAATAAATGCTTTCTCATTCTTGCATTCATTCATTCAATACCCTCACTTTACAAAGAAAGATCCTGAGTCTCAGAAAAGGGAAGCAACAGTTAATATGGCTAGTAAGTAGCAGAGTTGGGTTTTGGACTCAGGGCACTTTTGCCTCCAAATCCAATGCCCTCTCCATTCAGTCTGGTGCTATAAAAGATGTGGGACACAGACAGTGAGGAATCTGGGGTGGAAGCAAAGATCTGAGACATCTTTGCTCATGGGGCTAAGGGCCCAGAATTCTTATTAAATAGTTTGAATTGACAATGGAAGAGAGAAAACGTGTGTTCCCTAAATTTTCCTCCCTTTCTCCCCCCAGGTATTAGCATGCCTAGCTGTGACCCTGGTCCTGGCAGCAGTGTTGCAGAATCTGAGAAGACCCATGGGGGGTCCATTTCCTTCCCAATACTCACCTCCAGAACTAAGATCCCCCCAGCCAGTCACCCAGCACTCTGAATTCAAGGGAAAGGTCTCCCTGGCATTAGGAAGGCTAATGAGCTTGATATGACTGGACAGCTTAACAGGGCTCTTCAGTTTCAGCAGAGCTACATCCCCACCACTTTCAGCCGAAGTGTAGCTAGGAAGAACAATAATCTTCTCCAGTGGCAGGAGCTTGTCCTCATAATACAAGTGCTGTTTCCTCAATTGGATCCTGAAAGATGAAGGCTCCACCGGATAACTGGTAGAAGAGGGAAAGGAATGTTCCTTCAAGGCACCTGGGTCTGGGTTGGAGGGTCACAGTTGAGTTCAACAATCTGAAGACTCAATCCTCTCCCTCCATCACCTGAAGCTCACTCCTGCAGACTTGGAGATCGAGCCTCTCTAGGCCTCCCACAACCTTTCTACACTGTTTTGTTTTGGTTTGGTTTGAGTTTTTTGTTTGTTTGGTTTTTGTTTGGTTGGTTGTTTTTTGGGGATGAGACAATTGGGATATGTGACTAGCCCAAATTCATACAGCTAGTGAATGTTATGTATCTGAGGTCAGATTTGAACTCAGGTCCTCCTGAATCCAGGGCCGGTGCTGTATCTATGGTGCCACCTAGCTGCCCTCAACCTTCCTAAACTGTAAGAATGTCCAGCTCATTGCCTATCACCTTGCCTTCTCTCTCCTGGGTTTCCTATTTAAATAAAGTGATGGTACCACACAAGCAGATGATGCTCTTTGGTTTAAAAAATGCATAGCCCCCAACTTTCATTTTTGAGGAAACCAGGACAGGAACTCTTCTCCCTATTGTACAAAGGAGGAAACTTTGGCCTAAAGAAATAGGTGAACAGCTTGTCCAAAGCTACAAAGCGAGTCAATGACAGAGTCTAGATCAAATCCAGCTTTCCTGACTCCCATCCCCAGACCTGTCTCCACTCTGTTCCTTTCCCCATGCCAGATTCATTCATGTCCATCCAGTTGAGTGGGGAGGGACAGACTTACGTGCCAATGCAGTGGGCAGCAGTCAGTACCCACTGGGGGTGGATGAGGGAGCCACCACAAATGTGCATCCAGAATTGACCGCCAAAAGTCCTGAGGCTGGCCTGCCAGAGCCACTTCCCCTTCTGAGCCTCCTGGCCTCCAACAATGCCAACTTTCTCCCTGTCTAAGTAGAGAGAAAAGTGACTGTGATGTGTTCAGATATCCAGCTGTCCTCTGAAGGCTTCACATATCTGCAGTGATCATCCTCTGCTTCCGAGATTGTATGCCATGGGCTAAGTCTCAGCTGAGGGATCCTATTCCTTCCCATAACAATAACTATAGCAATAATAATAAAGATAATGATATTATCAACTGAAATTTGTTAAGGACCTGAAACATACAACTCAGTGAGCCTTGCAATGCTTTTTGCATATAGGATCTCATTTGATCCTACCAACAACTCTGTGAGATGGGTAATAAAGGAATTATAATTTGAAAAAAATGGAAATTGACACAGAAAAAGAGGATAAGTGTCCAGAGCCACTCAGCTAATGAGTGTCAGTGATGGGAGTTGCACCTGGGGGCCTTTCGGATTCCATATCTAGCCCTCTTTCCACTATCAAAATGCTGTTACCCACAGGGAACTCAGGCATCCTGTTACCCAGAAATTACCACTACCTCAAGGACCTCACATCCCATCCCGGAGGAAGAGTTGAAGCATTCTCATATGCCTCCCAGATATCACTCCTCATGTCATCAGCACAAGGCTAATTACTTGAAGATCAGGCAGAGAGAGTCACCTTGAATCAGAGGCATGGAATTCCCCAGGAGGGGAAAGGTCAGGAACAGCAGGCATAACATCTAGAGGAAAAGAAAGAAAAGGTGACTGAAGCCAGCAAAGAGCAACCCTGCAAGCCAGGGTCTCATTAAATGACCTCTGCTGCATAGTGCTGGGAGCCGGGGCTTTGGATATCAAGTTGTTGTAGGGGATTAGGATTCTTACCGTGTCCAAATTCCCGTGCTGTGTCCTCCCCATGAGTTAGCCCTCTACTTATTCTCCAAGGACAGGAAGTAGAGGAGGGAGGGAGGATGGTGCCAACTCAGCCCTCTTCTCAAAAGTGGAGGGGAGTGGTGAAGGAGGTGGAGGAAATAAAGCGGGAAGTGTGTTGAGAAGTCTGGCTGATGACCTGTCAGATGCCTATGCTCCCATCCTCTTCTCTTCCATCTCCACCTTAATTCTAATCCTCTTAATCTTTCCCCATTTCCAGGTGGCCTGGAAATCAGAGGCCTATGAGAACTCTAACCCCAAGCAGGGTTAGAGAATCATGTATTCTCCCCTCAGAAGCATAGCACTTTCCTTGAACCCTTTAAAAAACATTTATTATGTAACTTTGTGCAGTATTAGTTATCTGTATTTCTGTCTTTTCCTCTTCCTAGACTTCAAACTCTAAGAATATGAATGTCTAAGCTTTAAATAGCCCCCAGTATCTAGTTCACGACTTTTCCCATACCAAATATTTAATTCACTTTGAATGGATGAATAAGATCTTAAGATCAAAGATGTGAAAGTTGGAATGGACCTCAGAGACTTTCTAGTCCAATTCCAATTAGGAATCAGAAAACTGAAGTCCAGAAACCTTGCCCAAGTCAAGTTAAATAATTTGCCCAAGGTCACATAGATGGTAAGTAGTTCTTAAAGTTTCTGGCCATTTCTATGTAGCTCTTCCAAGCCTGGCTTGCCCCATCACGATTCTCATCTGCTCCTTCTTGATCCCAAAAAGAGAATGGACTCAGTCTAATTCCACATGAGTTTGTGGATTTGCCCACCAGGGAACACAGGGACCCGCTCCCAAGGTCTACCACACAAGTTTACTCTCTGCCTTTCAGAAACTCTTCTTATTTCCACAGTGGACTAATGGGGACTCCCCCCACTGCAATACTCCAGAAAGATAGATTACAATAAAAGCATTTGTTCTGTGAAGTTTGGATTCACTCAAAGGGCAACACTTGAGGACCTAGAGGGCCACATGTGGCCTCAAGGCCACAGGTTCCCCATCCCTGATCTAGAATCTCATCCGTGTGGTTAGTCCTCCAACAATGCATTTCACAGCCCATCCATGCCTGCCTATACTGGATAGCTCTTATCCGTGTCTTCTTACAAGTTCACTACAAGGGGTCGCTCCAACTGACTGAGAACCGTCCTTACTTCCTCACGACAGTGAGAGGAAACCAATGGAGCACAGGGTCTGGCCATCAACTATTCCTTGCTGTCACCATACAGCCAAGCTACCTCCTTTTCCAGTCCATACATTTCTTTAGTGACATTCCTTACAACCATCACCTACCTCTCCAATGCCCTGTAGATGAGCCTCAGCTTCAATTCTTCAGACACTGGTGTTTCATGACTCCTACTCATTCAATAGTGTCAAAAGAACACAATACTAAAAAGGTAAGTTTTTGTTTTGGGGAAAGATGGTGGATAATTCAAAGTAATTTGCACTATCCCAAAAGGCCATCCAGCCTAGTCTCCTTTTCAGTTCTCAGATACTTGCAGTAAGTCCACTTGCAGTAAGGGTCCTACATCAGTTCTGAAGGTTGTCCATCCAGCTGCACATCATGTCCTCTGGACAAAAGTCATTCTTGATCCACTTTTTGGCATGTATTTTACCCTGAAGTGATGATTAGGCCAAACTCTTTAGAATGACTCTGAATCATTTTAGGGGCCTCTGCAGCGGTCCTGGACTGGAAGCAATCAGCACAATACCTTCTACATCTGCAGCATCCAGACGACCTCACCCTCTATAGATGACTTGGTCTCTGCACTGGATCTACTCCATGATGTGCTGAAGCACAAAACTCAAATCATGTCCCAATTGTTATTAATAATCAAAGAATTGTTGACTAAAGATGTCTTTGGTTAAATGCTTTAAGCAATCTCATATAAACATTTATCACTAGAGAAACCTTAGTGGAAAAGAGCCAATCAGAAGTCATGGTGTCCTACCAAATGAAATGGGTTTTGTTCATGGCCAACAAACATAACCACAGTGGGATTATGTAGAGATGTGGACTGCCATGGAATATCACTTGCCAAAGTCTGTCTGTTCCCTGCAAATTATTGTCTGCTTCTTGAGAACAAGGACTGTTTTGCTTTTCCCTTTGTATCTCTACCTCTTAGCAGAGTGCTTAGTCCAGAGTATTTAATAAATGTATTTTCATTTCCCAAACTCTTGTTATCCTTATCTCCTTCAGATACCTAGAGAATCAGTTTCTAATTGTCCTCAAAATTGAGTTTCTTCCACCACATACCTCCATTATATGCTTGTCCAACTTTTTTCACCATCTTAATTTTCTGCAGCACCATTTCTGCTTTCTAGAGAAATACATCTGTGACTGCAATGTTATGGTCCTAATGTGGTGTCAATTCCGTCCAGATAGCCAATGCAGTTTAACAGAATGTTCATAAACAAGTTCAGAAAAATAGAAATACTAAATCCATCCTTTACTGACCACAATGCAATAAAAATTATAATCAGTTAAAGGTCCTTGAATAAAGGGTCTCATATTTACTTTAAATGGAGACTAATTTAATCCTAAAGATTTGGTGGGTCAAAGAACAAATCATAGAAAGTATAGATAAATTAATCAAAGACAATTAAAATGGCATTATAACATGGCAAAATATTTAGGAGGTAGCTACAACAGTCATTGGGGGAATTTTTATATCTCTGGATACTTAACATAAACAAATTGAGAATGAATGTGTCAGTGAATTGGGTATACAACTCAAAACATTAGCAAAACCACAAAAGGAAAAAAAAAGTAAACACAAAAATAAAAATTCTGAGATTGAGAAGAGATTACCAAAATTGAAAGCTTAAAAAAATCCCATTCAATTGATAAATAAACTAGTCTCCTTTTAAAAAAAATGAATGAAGTAAGCAGTAATCATAAAAAATAATTTTATGAGGAACAAGAACCATAGCCCAATAAATAAGTGATCACATAATATGAACAGGTAATTTTCAAAAGAAAAAAATATAAGCTACTAACAGACATGATTTTTTTTTGTTTGAAATCACTAACAGAATCAAAGTGGGTACTCATTAATTAAGAAAATGCTAAATAAGTTATGGTATGTGAATGTAAATGAGTATTATTGTACCACAAAAATGAGAAAAGGGACAAATTCAAACTCCTTGAAGACTCATATGAATTAATAGACAATGAAGTGAACAGAACTAGGAGAAAAAAGTACGCAAGAGCCGAATGAACAAAGCAGAATCCCCTGCTATTTGAAAACCTGGCTGGGGAAAGGCTTCATGGCTCTATCACTAACTACAGTTTGAGAAGAAGCAACTCCTCAGAGCCTGAGAGAAGATCTGAGGAGCTTGGCAGTTCTCTGACTTAACTAAATCGCTTCTCATTTTGAAAAAATAACATTCTCTCAGCACCCAGCCAACAGTGACTATGTGCTTTAAAAAAAAAAATTGTCACTGCTTCATCAGCCCAAGAGTTGGGGAGTAGCAGCTTTGGCCAGGAAGGGAGTTATCAGGACCCGAAAAGTTCAGATAGCCAAGAAATGGCTTGGCCCAGTCGTAACGTGATACAAATTGTGCTCTAAAGAGCCCTAGGACATTGAGGCCTGCCATCCAGAGTCATGAGTTGCCCTAGGCACGTGGGTTTCCCTATTCACGTGCCTTGCTGTGTTTCTGTAAACGTGTGCTCCATAGACACTGAGTTGATGGGAGAGTGTTACCCAGATTTATGAGGGAGATGTTGCTATTGTTGAGTCATTTCAGTCGTGTCCAGTTCTTTGTGACCTCATTTGGAATTTTCTTGGCAAAGATACTGGAGTGTTTTGCCATCTCCTTCTCCGGGTCATTTTACAGATGAGAAAACTGAGGCAAACATGGTTAAATGACCTGCCCAGGGTCACATAAGTGTCTGAGGCTGGGTTTGAACTCAGGTCTTCCTCACTGCAGGTCCAGGTCTGCATCCACCGTGCCACCTAGCTGCCCAAGTGAGATGTTATATTTTGACTATTCCTTCTTTCGTCATTTATTATGATTATTTCTGCTTTGCCTTCTAATAAGCAAATATTATAAATATCCTTGTCTTTGCCTCATCATTTAATAATTATTTAATATAAATCAATAATGTTATGGTAATTGAATTTGTATAAATGGGAAGCACACTAATAGGAGCTCAGGAGATTAAATAATTTAGAGCAGTAGGAACATATCCCCCCCCCCCCATATCAGGGTTATCATTAGGATCTTGATGGGAAGTTTTAGTTGTAGCCACATGGCTATAGTGCTAACCATCTCTCTCCCACCTCCCCACTCCCAGAAAATATTCCTGAGCTGCCAGTGTGAGATTAGATCAGTGTACCAGCCCAGGGAGAGAAAAAGAAGTTCCTCAGAGGAGAGATTCAATTTTCTACGAGCCTCCTTATTCCACCCACCCTGCTATCAGCAGAAGATAACTTACTTACTGAGGAGATACTTAGTAACTTCCTCTTTTCTACAGTTTAAACCTCAAAACCCTCTTATGTTATCCGTGTTATTCCCCCAATGTCTCCTCCTTTGCCCAGCTTCTAACAGTTACCACGGCTGACTCCTTCTACTTCTGCTCTTATTCTCTCCTTCTCCCTTTCTTTTTCTGTTGTTCAGTTGTGCCTGACTCTTTGTGATCCCATATAGAGTTTTCTTAGCAAAGATGTTGAGGTGGTTTGCCATTTCCTTCCCTAATAGATTAAGGCAAACAGAGGTTAAATGACTTGCCCAGGGTCACATAGCTAGTAAGTGCCTGAGGCCAGATTCAAATTTAGAACTTCCTGACTCCAGGCTCAGAGCTCCATCCACTGAGCAACCTAGCTGCTTTTCTCTTTCTATGACCTCCTCCAAATGGCCATAAGAAGATATTCTCAGCTAGCAATATATATGCCTGCTTTCCCATTCATGTAAAATCAAAGGCATTGTTGATGAGGTTAGTGAATGAATGAATAAATGAGATTTCTAGTCCCTCCTTTGCTAC